ATCCAGTGGACCTCTCAACCCCATCCTCATTCTGTCTCCACTTCTTAGGGAACTTCACGGTCAGGGCACCTAAAGCTACTTTTTACTAGTCACTAAGGACCTGGAAATAACCATTTAAAGAAAGCTCCTCCTTACTAAAGAAGCTTTTAGCTAATTTTCTTGATAAAGTAAAAAATTAACTGTTGCTTTGCTTATCTGTTTATTCAGTAAAAGTAACTTTAATAATCTTTATTCAAAGAGTCCCAAACATGTTTGTTTGGTAATAAAGAAAACCTTGCATATTAAAGAAAAACAATTCAAAACTTGGACACGTCTACAACTAGGCAGACAAAGAAACCACAGTCCATTAGAGTAAGTCATTGCGAGTTCTCCATCCATCTAGTCAAATTTTCAAATATTTAACAAAGTTGCTCTTTAAAATACTAAAGACCCAAATGTTTGTCTTGCCTGAGCCAAGAAACTTAAAAAAAATTCTATGCTTCTTGAACAAATGAGTGTAATATACTGAGGTATCACTGGACATAACACTTACATGAAGCATTGACCTATTTTGTGGTTTATGTTCTGGATTACACTTTTGGCTTAGCGGTACCCCAACAAGCATTACTAGAATCTTTTTAATTTTTAAATACCCACATAAATACTTAGTATTTTTATACTACTACCATCTACTTATATGAAAGCAGCATATTTCATCTCTTTGGTGCCATGTAGGCTCAACTTTTAAATGTCCTTGATATAATAATTCCACAAAAGAGAATTTAGTGACCTAACAAGAACCATTCAGGGTGTCAGGTTTAAGAATCAGAATCTAATAAATCTCATTTGTGAGCAGTAGGCTTCAGTCAGAGTCCCATGCATCACTTAGAAAAGTCTCAGATGCATTAACCTAATTACAAGAGTGAAGCGCATACTATTACCTGGATAGAATGGGACCAGTATCCTGTGGTCCTTTTTGAAATGCCAAGAGTAGAAACAGCGTGATGCGCGTATACTTTGGGTGAGGGCACCAACCACGAGCACTTGTGCAGAAAGCTGCCAGGTGCGGTCCTGTTGGTAGCCACGTAGAAAGGGATCAGACTCTGCACAAAGATTCCTTTGGAAGCATATTCATACTGCAGTGCCCTGCTGAAGTGGTCTAAATATGCCTGTTAAAATGGAGCAGGGGAAAAGACTTACTTTTTCAGGAACATGGAATGAAATTCAAGAGAAAAAGGCTTATTTTCATGTCAGGAAAAAAATACGGCAGAGGCAAACATGAGTTGCTAACAAAGAGCATAACAAATTGAACCAAACATGATGATAAGTTCTAATAAGTGTCCTCTTGCATTATGACTTGACCTTCTCATCAGGAATGCATTACCTTGGAAGCGGAAAATACAGCCAGCTGGGGAGTTGGTTTGCAGCAGGAGCCAGAGGAGATGGTGACAACAGCGCCCTTCTTTCTCTCCACCATTCCCGGTAATACCATGTGGACCATCAAGCTAGCTGCGGCCATGTTCACGTTTATGATGTCCCAGAGTTTGTCCTCGGAGACCTGAGTAAAATACTGGGGGTAGGGATAAAACACGCCTACGTTATTTACCAGGATGCCAATGTCTTTGTCTTTCAAGGCTTCTCGGATCGGGTCATAGATCTCACGGCCGTTGCTGAAGTCTGCAACTATAATATCGGTTTCCACTCTGTAGGTGTCAGCTATGTCTTTAGCAACCATCTGCAACTTCTCTTGGTTCCGACTAATCAGGATGATATTGAGACCACGGCTTGCTAACTCTTCTGCATAGGCTCTTCCAATCCCATCTGTCGCACCTACAGTACAAGCCAAGAAATGTGAGCGCACTCATTTAATGGTGCGACCTTTGAAAAAATGAACCTTAAATACCCCATTTCCGGTTTACTCAGAGAAAGATTCACACCAGAAGTAAACTGGGTTCTAATATTGACCAGTCAAGCACAATGTCGAATCCATAATACGAACAATACATGCTGGTCACTCTCCCACCCTGACAGGCAGAGGAAGAGTTGTTTCATATTCAAAACATTGTGAGACACAGTAGAAACTGTCTTCAAACTTATATTTGGCTTGAATGAGTGCAAGGAGGTACTTTCCTGGGAAACAAAAATAAATTCAAATGATATTTAAAAACAGTAAGAGATGCATCTCTGAAAGCAGTGACAGTTTCTAAGGACAATATCAAAACAGAAAACAAAAAGGAAAACTCAGAGGTGGGAAGGAGCGGCTGGAGCAGGACTGGGAATGAGAGGGAACAGATAAACATTCTTCCAAGACAAGGGCAGTAAGAAAAGGTAAACATAATCACAAGACATGTTATTTTTTATCAGCATGTTC